TATGGGCAAGGGTGGAAGTCCTTGGGGCTGGAAGTCTGAGAGCTGATAGGAAGGGTAGAGTGGATGCCTGAGGGCTTGGAACTATCAGTATCGGGACCCATGGGGTTTAAGGACATAGTTTCCTAATGTTCCATATTGCTCTTGGCCTTATTGCAGTATTTAAAAGATTGAGACTAAAAGGCTCCAAGAGGAAACTTTATATAAGGAGCTTGGAAGATGTTTAAGACTGGCAGGGCTTCCATGTAGGAGGAGTCTCTAATGTAAAATCTAAAGATGGAAACAGCTGTACCTTAAACTCTAGCAGTGTAAAATGGTCCAGGTTAGGAAAAGGGTGAAGTGGAAAGTACTACAGTTTTACAAATAGATATACATGGACAAACAAGTTCTGCTAGTTTAAATGAATGAGCATTTATTTCACTTGCAAATAGAAATTAACTGTTTAAAGCATTAAATGGCAATTGTTTTACATACACACAAAGCCTTTTTGCAAGGTAACATTTCTAAATGAAACAAATTTCATGTCAGTGCTAAAAAGTCTTTAGAATGCACCAAAAGGTGTTCAGTGAAAAATATTGTTTTTAGACATTAATTTGGGAAACAGAATTGGTTAAAATTTAAACATGTTGGGTGCAAAAAAACTAGTTTTATGACTAAAAAATTTAAAAATGTTTAAATCAAATATATCTTTCGTACACAGGGTTAATTAGGGAAACAGAATTGGTTAAATTTAAACATGTTGGGTGCAAAAAAACGAGTTTTATGACTAAAAAATTTAAAAATGTTTAAATCAAATATATCTTTCGTGTACAGGGGAAAGGCCCTTACAGTATTTTCAAAAATTACATTTTTGCAGTAATGACCTTTCAGCACTGAGCCAATAATTTGCGACTTGAAGTTTTGTGACAATTTTAAGTGAAAGACGTTTTTTCCAATGCTCTGGCAATGTGGATGTACAACTTGGAAAAAACAAATTGCACATAGAATATTGTCCAAGGAAAAAGAGCGATATATGAAACCAAACCACAGTTCACAACCATGCACCATGCATGACATCTAGATGCTCAACCAACCATCAAAACTTCACATGTGAAATTAGGCTCCTATAACATTCGGGCTTTATTTTCCTTTAAAAAAAAACAACCTCCCTGCCCACAATTTCGTCCTGGGATTCGAACCCACACCCCATGCATCACAAACCATTATGCTGTAACCACTTGCAATTCACACAGGTTGACGGAATTTGTACTGTTGATATACCGATGAATGGCTGCAACGCGAGTCTAATACACATTGGGTATGCGCAATACCACCATGGTTTGGCTTCATACGTATGGTTGCATATATATCTCAGGAAAAACTTAGAAAGATGAACAAAGAAATTGACTAAAGCGGGATTTGAACCAGCGACCTCTGGAACAATGTACCAGTGCTCTACCAACTCAGCTATCCAGCCCCATTTGTCAATCTCTCTGTTTGGGGGCAAACTTGTTAAGTGAGGTTCAGAACAGCCTCTGGGTTGACTGAACGTGCTGGTATTTTGGCTGCCTGAATGGGAACACCATTCAATTTTTAAAAGCATGCAATAGCTGCGAGCTTTGAGTCCTCAAAAGAAGTAGTATAAAAGTGTTTGGAGTCTTTCCAAATAGTAATTATTTGCAAATTTTGAAGTACAGGTATAGCATCTTGATAACTTAAATGTAAACATGAATATTTTTAAATGCGCATTAATATGAGCCAATGCGTTACAATGAAAAGAAACAAAGGCAAACAATAGTCTTTTCATCAAAAGAAAACTGACCAATTGTCTTCAATTTACAGAGTACCTCTTAAGTCATGAATAATTTGGATGTAAGTAGAGTACAACGTCCCTATTCTGAACAATTCAGTAGATGGAACATGCCTCTTGGCTCCGGAATTTTCTGCACACTTGTACTGAACATCACAAATTTGCTGTAAATTAAAGAAAAAAAATAATTTAGGACCGATGACAGTGACTCAAATGTTAAGACATCAATACACTCCGAAAATGGGGCGGCCATGGTATGAGCCCATAGCAAAACAAGCAGCCACACAAGAGAATCTGTTTT